GTGCCGGGGGGAGGGGTGCTTGGACAGGCCACTGCGGCTCGTGCATTCGGAGAGTGGCCTTTTCCGTCTACTGGTGCACCCCCTTTTCATAAGAAGTAACAACAATAAAATTATTAAAATACATTATGGTACAGTATCTGTGTGTTTCAGGGCTCTTGCAGCAGGGCTAAGCATCTGTAATAAGAAGTGTGTAGACTTGTCTCTGCTTCAGCTCACGTGAGTCAGGATCGCAGCCGCCGAAGAGAGTTTGTTGTGGATGACCACTCTGGGAGGAGGGGAGAGGGAAGGGCTGAAGTAGAGGAGAAGAAATGTTTATACAGACAGAATGGTTTTTGGCTCACAGTTTGCAATCCCAAAGCAGTGGAAGGCCAAGCATTTTGGCTAAAGCAGCCCTAATTTAGTTTCTTAAATAGTTGCTGTTTGTCAGATTTATAGCTGGTCTAAAAATGATCTGTAAGGGAAAGGTTGAATGTTAGGAGTCAGCTGATCGCTTTAAATTAAGCTTGCTCATACACCACTAGATAAGACTTATAAATTGTGAGTAGCTGCCATTATCTCTAAATCTTGTATTAACAAGCAATTTGTAATAAGGTGGGTTATTTTTCCCCCGAGTCAAAGTGAAAAACCCAAAGCTTGGATTGCTGTCATCTGCTGCATTGCTGTCATATGCTGCAGGTACTTTCATTAGTTTGGGGGAAAACTCTCATTTCAAAAATAGAGGTGGGAAATGCCACATAATGCTGCTTTAAGGATGGTTCATGATACTTTTTGGACATCATCTAGAGAGAATGTGATTTCCAAAATAAAAGGGGGGTTAGAGAGGACAAGAACCTAAAGTCAGGCCCTTCACATTTCTGCAATATTACTCCATGCAGAACATTTTGATAATGCTTCCTTGACTGTTTTGAGTGTTTCCTAAATTATTTTGCTAAGCTACTTTTCCCTTGATCCTTTTCTCATGCTGTTGGGTATTCAGTAAGGGCCTCCCTCCATTCACTCCTGCTCCAAGGCAAATCCAGGAGCTTTTGAAGTATTTCTGAAGCTGGGACATGCAGCTTGAGGCAGACTGACAGGCTTGGCTGTGCCATGTGACAGTATTAATCAGGAACAGTTATAAATATGAGTTTTGAAATTGCTGATTCTTAGGGCTTTTCTGAAGGCAGGTGATGAGGCATACTGTGATGGTATGAAAGGAAACAAAAAAAAAAAGAGGTTATTGGTTTTGACAAACATGCGATGGTGCTGCTGTTAGAAGTTGTGCTCGAGCAATGTAACACCATTACTCACATGGCAGACCCGTGCTAGCATCAGCCCTCTTTCTGCACTGCGCATTCCCTAAGCCAAACTGTGATGAGTCCTTGTCCTCAAAGTTTTTAGCTTCTTAACCTTTTCTTAAAGATTTTGGGGTTCTTGCAAACTGCAAAACCAGAAGCCTCTGGGGAGCCCGTGCTCTCTGTATGGTACTGGGTGATCTGGCTCGTGGGCTTTGTGTTTGGGGCTCCTTGTCAATCTTCCAGCAAAGATTTGGGTGCTTTGTTGACCTGAGGTTT